TCTTCTGTGTCTGTGTTAATTGGTTTCCCTTTTCTTTGTTGAAGAGGGTCTGTGCAATCCTTCTGCCTAGTCCGCCATCTTGCCGGAACCTCTCCACGTTCTATTCTGAATCCACTTTGTATTTCTAGAAATTCCCTGCCAATATATCATCACTACAACCATTTTTGAATCTTCAGCAAAATTTTTCTTTCATGAATTATTAACGATATTGTCCAATAAATTCCAAATTCTGTTGGGTCACCTTTCTTTGGAATGGGTACAAATCTGAAATGCTGCCAGTTGGTTGGCCAGGTAGCTGTCTTCCAAATTTCCTGGCACAGACAAGTAACCGCCTCCAGAGCTGCATCGATTTGTTGAAACATCTCAATGGGTATTCCATGAATTCCTAGAACTTCATTTTTCACCAATTCCTTCAGTGCTGCTTGGATGTTTTCCTTCAATAACATTGGTTCTTGATCATCTATTACTTTCTAAAATGGTTGATTATCGATCAATTCTTTTTCATACAGTGACTCTGTGTATTCCTTCCATCTTCTTTGATGTTGCCTGCATCATTCAATATTTTGCCCACAGAATCTTTCAATATTGCAACTTGAGGTTGAAATTTTTTCTTCAGTTCTTTCAGCTCGAGAAATGCCAAGCGTGTTCTTCCCTTTTGGTTTTCTAACTCCAGGTCTTTGCACATTTTGTTATAATAATTAACTTTGTCTGCTTGAGCTGCTCTTTGAAATCTGTTCAGCTCTTTTATCTTGTCATTTCTTCCATTTGCTTTAGCTATTCTTCACTCAAGGGTAAGTTTCAGAGTCTCTTCTAACATCAATTTTGGTCTTTTTTCCTTTCCCGTCTTCATTTCCAACTTCCAAATTCCAATCACCAGTGATAATCAAAACATCTTGATTGCATGTTTGGTCAACTGCAGACTGCAGAAATTTGGTAAAAATCTTCAATTTCTTCATCTTTTGCTTTGGTGGTTGGTGTGTAAATTTAGATAATAGTCATACTAGTACTACAAGAAATAAATTATGCCATGAAGAGGAAAAAATCATTCATATGCATCCTTATTAAGGCATTAAAATCAACAAATAGAGTAAAAACAAAATTCAAAGAATTCCAAAATCCTAAATATAGGTAAAACCTTAGACAGCAAATTGACATATTCATTTTCATATATGTTTAGCTTCTAATTATTATCTTAAAATAGAAAAGACTGAGCCTAAGTCTTGCAACAGTGAGAACATTACACTTGACAAGGTGTGATGCTATCTTGATCAATGTCTTGAATATTTAAAAAAAAATTCATAAAAAAACACATTTTTCAAGCTTACATTGTGATTTAACCCCAAAGATGCATAATATTATAAATATTCAATTCACTATACTTCATATAAATGCAAAAGACTATCTGAAATATTTGGTAAAGAGTGAATTGAGATAGTTACAAATAAAATTGAAAGCTTATATAATGTCAAAATATCACTACCAGTTGGGATAGAATTCTCACCAATGTTATCACATGGAATTTAAAAAAGACTTAGTAAACAATTTTACTTACCATTAACTTGGTCATAGTTGGCCTTGGTCCGCCTATAAATGAAGAATCATTTTGCTCCTCTATACCTGGCACCTCACTTAGAAGGGTATGCTGTTCATGTGATGTGGTCAGCAACTCTGGTAAATCAAGAAATTGAATTCCACACTTAAAAGCAGCTGTTTTTACTTTTGGCACTTCCTGGATCCTCTGGTACCAAGATGCTAGCAATGGAAATTCTATCAGCTTTTCAGGAAGTTTCTTACAGATAATTACCTAGGAAGGAAAAGAACAAAACACATTATACGTTGTTTCTGCTGTATTGAGGTGTATACTTTACACAGCATAATATCTATCCATTTTCAATCAGTTTGTTTTAGTAAATTTATACAGTTCTTCAATCATTAGAAAATCCAGTTTTAGAATACTTCCATCCCCCTAAAAAGTTCCTATCTGCAGTCAGCTCTGCCTCATGGCCATTCACAGACAACCACTAATGTTATTTCTGTCTCTATAGTTTTGCCTTTTCCAGACTTTGACATAAATAGAATCATACAGTATACTTCTTGCCTTTTTTTTTAGCATTATGTTCATGAGGCTTATCCATATAGTCACATTTATCAGCAGCTTCATCCTTCATATTTAGGAGTAATTACTATCGTCCATTGTGTGGTTATACCATATTTTGCTTAACCATTCACCAGTAATGAACATTTGAATTATTTCCAATTTCTGTCTATTATGAATAATTCTTCTATACTTATTCACATACTACTAGTCTTTATGTAGAAATGTCTTCATTCCTTACGAATGGTTGTCTAGAAGTCAAGTCACTAGGTTGTATCGTAAGTACATGTTTAATATTTTAAAAAGCTGCCAAACATTTCCAGTGGCTGTACCATTTTGTTTTCCTACAGCAGTCTATGAAGGTTTCAGTTTCTCCACATCCTTCTCAACACTTGATATGGTCAGTCTTTTCTATTTTAGCCATTTTAGTAGATGTGCAGTAGTATCACATTGTGATATTAAATTCCATTTCCCTATAACTAATGATGTTATGGATCTTTTCATGTACTTATTTGCCATGCATATGACTTCTTTGAAGTGTCTTCATGTTTTTGTTGTTGTTATTGTGTTGGTCATTTGTTTTTAGTATATCACCTTTCCCTTCACCCAAATCAATACTTTTCTCTTACCTATATAGAAATTTTCCCTCCCTGTCACTACCATCCCTGGTAACCAATAAAGAAATTTCTTCCATATGTAAACCTTTCCTTGGTTTTTTACAATGGTAGACAAATACAATATTTGTCCTTCTATGATTGACTTATTTCATTTAGCATAATGTCCTCCAAGTTCATGCATGTTATGAGGTGTTCGGAAAATTCTACATTATTCTTTAGTGTTGCATAGTATTCCATTGTGTTCATGTACTATAGTTTGGTTACCCATTCACCTATTGATTGGCTGTTGTTTACATCTCTTTGCTATTGTGAATGGTGTGACAGTGAACAGGGGTATGCATATATCTAATCATGTCCTGGCTCTCACTTCTCTAAGATATATAACTAGCAATGGCATTGCTAGAGCAAATGATATTTCTATTTCCAACTTTTTAAGGAATTGCCATACCATTTTCCACAG